TGCAATGCAACTGTATGGTCTGCCCCTGACATGATAAATAAAATAAAATCTCATGAGAAAACATGACTCTTTAGAAATTAGAAGGAAGTAGGGAAAGAAGGGGAAAGGTAAATAAAGTCAAGCAAAGAAGCTAGAGCCCTGAGTTTGCAAAATCTTAGTAGGGCTGTTGAAAAGTCAAATTGTAACCATAAATCAAAGCCAAGTTGAGGACAATTCACTACAATGGTAATTTGAAAATGAATTAATTAAAAATCAACACAGTCCTTATTACTTCACTTTCCCTGCTCATTCTCCTTTTATTCTTTATTCTATAGTGTAATTTAGTACATTACTAACTTTGAAGGAGTTTCCATGAGCAACAAAAATACTGTTTGGCACCATTGCTCACACATTCAAAATGCCGTTTTCTTTCATTACAATGCATGGTTTAAATATGATGTGCTCAGAAGCTTTTAAGGAGGGAATGCAGTAACGATACTCTTATGACGCATGTTGGGTCTATATCAGTCAACTTTCAGCTTGATCTCTAAGTTCTAAGATGTCAGTTCCATTAATCTTCCCTTAACAAACAAACTAGTGGATTGCATTTTCGAGCCACAACTTGCATACTTGAAGCACCTTAACTAGGGCATGGAAAATTCTGTTAAAGCCGTGAGAAACATTAGAAAAGGAAAAAATAAAGGGACTTCATGCTTCAGCTGCATGTGTCTCTTATCAGCATGAAAAGTTATAGCCTTTAAAATCCTCCCCCTTCATGCACACCAAAACCAGATTTAATAGACAATTCAGCCTCAAGAAATCTCTCTTTTCACTGTTGACACCAGTTTCTCAAATAGGTGAAGATAAAAATTACACTAGCTGTTTGCATTGTTTCCCCATGGCATTATGCCTTTGCAAAAGTTACATGATGTAAGACTATTCCGAGAATTGCAATGAACATCACCAGCAGTTCTACTATAATGGTCTTCCACATTTAATAACAATCATTTTGAAAATTAAAATCAGAACTACATTATGGAATTGCTCCTGTGAAATGAGTTTGTGTCTGGCTCCATTTTTCAGTAGCAGTAATGATATATAAGGGAATGCTGCATGGTAGGACTACTGAATTCAGGTAGTATGATTCAGTAACACAGAGACACAGTGCTTCCAAGCATTTAGGGGATTTGCTACTTCATCACCTCAAGAACTTGAGAGCAAAGTCCGAAAGATACATTGAGCCAAGAAGGATTTTAGTTCATGTTATATCAGTCTGCCTTGTAACAAGCTCCTAGCCGAGCACTGATGCATGACAGATTCTTTCTACTGATCTTAGAAAGAATCAATCTCTAAGAGTGTGACAAGTGAAACATTCCTTTTCCTAGTCCATCATAAATTAAGACATTCTTTCCTTTGGGACAAGATCATAGCTTAGCTCAGTGGCAGAGCACATTTTCTGCATGCAAAGTTTTAACATCTGATCCCAGGCATCTTGAGGCAGAGCTTTAAAAAAATCTGTCTGAAATCTGGGAAGCTTTTGCCTGTCAGTGAAGAAAATACTAAACAGAAATTGGAAGCCAATAGTTAGCAACAAATATTAAATTATTTACAGTACCGAAGGTATAACTAGGTTATACTTATGGCAATTCATTATGTGTCTGAAAAGTCAGCACGGTATGCTACAAGTTAGCCAAATGTGATTTTCAAGGTCTTTTTGCTTACAATTCACATTGCTTCTAGCTAGTAGAACATATTGAAGAATTATGGGAATGGCAGCCCAGTACTGAAATAAATTTTAAAAAATGATTAACTTCCCTAGTAGTGTATTAATTAGGGCTGGGCGGTTTCGTTTCGTTAATTCGTAATTTGTTAATAATTCGTTAATTTTTTCAATTACAAAACGATAACGAACCATTCTGGAGCAATTATTTAAAAAAACGATTTTTCAAAAACGTTTTGTAAATGCTTCGTATTTCGATATTGTATTCGTTTCGTTATTGTTTTGAGGTCGTTTCGTTATTATTTCCGCATGTCTGGGCCAGTTTTATGGTTTAATTAGTGAAAAAAAATTATAATATCACACCAACAGTCAACAACAGAGGGAGAGGGAAGCTTCAGAAGGTTTTGGAGGTTTTTTAGCGTATTTCGCGGTCGCGTCCGCCATTAACGAATCGATTCGTTATTGTTTCGGAAATCGATTCGTTAATTTTTTACCATTTACGAAATTTCGTAAATATCGAACTTTTTAAAAGGAAAATTTTGTAATTATTTTAAATATCGAAACAAAAAAAACCCCCAAATACAAATCGATTTTAGAAACAAAATTTTCCGTTGTTACCCAGGCCTAGTATTAATGTATGCACATCACAACCTTGGCATTAAAAAGGATGTGACATTTGTATCTTTGGTCATGCACCCTATACCTATTATTTCAAAAAGTGCCACAGAGACTAAGGACCTCATCAGAAAGCCCAGGGGAAGCATCCTGTTTTGCCAGGCTCCTGCGAAGAAAGAGGGAGCACAGGGTGAAAATTTCACCCCATTCGCAGTTCCCTCTCTGCAACACTTTGTCCTTCACAAGGGGAAAGTATTGCCCTTGTGGGAAGGTCCCGTACTATCTCCATTGGAGTCAGCACAACATGGGAAGTCCATCAACACTTTCACCCCACCTGGGCCTCTGCTGGATGTCACACAATGTTGTGTGATGTCTGGAATCAGTCTACATCTCCCAGATGTGGCAAAAGCATCCTAGGATGCTAAAATCACCATGTCTGATGAGGTAGATCATCTGCTTTCCATCAATATTCAAGATCTGTCCCTTCCCCAGATAGGCATTTTTCTGGATCTCTCCAGTCTCTCCAAACTAACAAAGGTTGAATGGCCTCCAACTGCTGCCTTGTTTTGTTTCCTCAGTCCCAAGGTACATATTATGCTCCAATGTCAAATGTTCAGCTTTGCTTTCCAATATTCTTCATTTGGTATAGGCATGGGTATGATTTTAGGATTTCTTTGAGCACATGAACCTTGTCTGGAAGGATCACAGTAATACCTGCTGATAGACACATTATTATTACATATTTATTGATTTAAAGTATTTATAAGTCACTGTTCTCCCTCTTAAAGTAACATTAAAAATATAATAGGCATTTTGTTTCCTCATGTACCACAATCAAATGAGCTCCCAATAGAAATGCTACCCTAAAATTTGGCACAGCACATACATATACAAACTATCACCAAAGCCTACTTACTTTCTCCTTTCCTTTCAGAAAGTGACATGTCATGCCCTATCATTTTGTAGGACTCTGTGGAGCTGAAGAGTATTCTGAAATGATCTTCTGTCATAGAGAGATACTGTAGTTGCCATCAAAGTTTGACACCAACTGCAGTAATGACAATAACCTTGGTTATGTGTACCATTTTGTTATATCTCAGAAGGAATGTGGCTTCCTGTGGCTGTGAACTTGCCTACAATGACACAGTCTAATAGAGTTAAAATATAATCAAGGAAATGTTCTCTTTTTCACAATGAAAATCCCCATTCCCCAATTTTCTTAACATGTTCTCTTTTTCAGAGCTAAAATTCCTGTCCAGATAGATTTTTAAAGAGTCATGTTTTCTTATAAGGCTTGGATTAGAGGAAGCAGGTGATCATGTAGTAGAACACGTGAAGGAGAAGAGAGACATGCCAGATTAAAGCAAGGCAAAGGAACCCCCCAAAGCAACCAACCTTAACCTCATGAGGGTCATTGAGTGGCACACCAGTACTAGCTGGTTTGGGGCCACTACCACTACTGGACTCTATTTTCCTCCATCCTGAAAAGAAGGCCCTTAGGGGCAGGGGCGGCTCAACCATTACACAAAGTAAACATTCGCAGTATAGTTGATTTTGCCCAGGGGCGCTCTTGGGGGAAAATAGACATTGACATATGCGAGTTGTAGTTACTGGGATGTATAGTTCACCTACAATCAAAGAGCATTCTGAACTCCACCAATGATGGAATTGAACCAAATATGGCACACAGAACTCCCATGACAAACAGAAAATATATATCAGTGATTGGTTGGGGACGGGGGTGCCAAAATACTGTTTACTTATTGTTGAAAATTAGCTAGGGCCACCTCTGCTTAGGGGTAGAAGACAATAGAGATAACTAAGGGCCCACTACCATCACTCAAACAGTGCCTGTCTGCAAGGAAAATCTGACTTATCTGTTGCAATAGCTCCTCTTACAACTACTTGGAACTTATACAGCATTTTATGTAAATATCCCTCTTTTTAACTTTTCAGAATGTGGTAACTCTACAATCTAATCACAACAGAATGAAAAGAGAAGAAAATATTATTTGAAACAGACGCCAAACATTTAGTGGTACAACATTACAGTGTTTTCTGCCTATTAGAAGAGGTTCATTCGATTTTTCTTGGCATTGTGCTGTTGTGTTTTAGAATCAGTTCTCCCCGCCTCACCCCGCCCCACCAAATTATCACTAGTAATGCAGGAAACAACTACTAATTTCAGCTCTTAGACATAATGTGGGATAAATGATACCTCCCGGTTAAGTTTGCACTAGCACAGAGTGCAGCAGAGTTTAAACTTATTGTTTAAACTTATTGTTTTAAAACTCAACAGGTATTAATAAAATTAAATTATGTTAAGCCATCTCATAAACATGTCTAAGATGCCAATGTACAAGCTAGAGATGAAAGACCTCTAATTCTAAGAGATTTAATAATGCTGTATGCAGATGATAATATATTAGTTCAGTGGGATTTTCTAACTGCGGATGGAGGGCAAGTGTAATTAAATATAAATGCAGCACCACCTCATCCAATGTGGCCAAATGCTCTGGAAGCTTTTAAGGTCCACTGTGCTTTTAATGAAAAGACTGTGTTATTGTCTCCTGTGCAGTAATTTTGGAAGATTAGTATTGAATTGCATCTTAATTAGCCACTTCTGTTCCCCACAAGTAGCAAAGGATTTAATTACCAATTTTCTTACATTTTTTTCCTCTTGCAGAAGAACAGCACTTTTTACCAAAGAAGAGGCGGGGAAGGAGAGAGAAATTCACATCCACCCACACTCATGAGGGGAAGCAAAACTTGATTAATGAAGAAACTGTTCAGAAACAATTCATCACTACATTTCATAGAGCAGCTGAGAAGGAAGAAATAAAATGTTCTAAATCTACAAATAAGGAGTATTTACTGGCCGCTATAGAATAGAAGCAAGAATCATGCAACCCTTTGGATGTTGTTGGACTACAACTTTTAACATCCCTTACTATTAACTATATTGGTTAGGACTGCTGGGAGTTGCAGTTAATTGACCTGAGTGTGATGGATTGCAAAATCCATCTGGCAAATTAAAGTGACCCACAACAGTTCTTAAATAAGAACTTTAATGCCCACTTACTACAGCTCAGCAAAACTGGTAATGAATGAGGAATGTGCATGAAAACTCTGATTTTTCTACTCCTTGAACCCTCCCCTTTCGAGTTCACTAAAGTTTGTTTGCCAACTTCCCAGTTCTCATTTCACTCTTTTCTTATCAGTCCTTTCTCATGCTGGCCTGAAGATGTCCAGACATTTACATATATCTTTCTCTGGCCTCAAAACTGGCATGGGAAGGTTCTCATGTTTCAGCAACAGCAGAAAAATTCATGATACTGAGGATGACCTCAATGCCATATTTGTTGTAGAAGAAGTTCTTTGCTGAACAGGCATGAATAAACATATACGGATCTAGGACCTTTTCCCATGTGTGTGTGTGTGGGGGGGGGGGTGTAGTGTCATCTAAACCCATGCTGTTTAGTTCTGTAGCATTGCAAATCACTGTTTTCTGTATTCATAACTTATCACATGTTTTAATTTGCTGGTTTACCCATTACTATAAATTTTCATCCTTATCCCACAAGCAAGTGGATTCTCACCCTCTCCTTTAAAAAAAAATTGTGTCTAACTTCAGCATCATGAAGGACTGAGCATAAAGGCAAACAAAAATAGCAATCTAGCAAAGTTGCAGTAGTTCTTACTTTTAATTTTTTTTAAAAAAAAAATACTGAAAACGATCAGGTGGCTGCATTATGGCAGAGTTCCAGAGACTCATTGCTGGTTAGGAGATTGCCACAGGACAGCACATTTGCCCACATCATCCTATTTTATTCAGTGCAGGCAATTCCAACAGCTCCCATCCCACATGTTTTGGTACTTTAGGAATAGAATATCACAGATTCAAAGCTCCTGAGATGACCCCATATGGTATTCTCCCCCCTCCCTTTTTTGGGTCTAATATTTACATAATAAATAATGACAGGTGTAGACAGGAAGTCCTCTTGCGTCATGGGATGGGATCCATCACTTTCCATTGCCTAAATAGGTTCTAACTGTTTTAAAATGGGGGGGGGGGTCTGGGATAAGATCTGTAGACCTAGGCAGTTGAGAAGGATTCACTATGATGCCATAGTGAGTTCTACATAAAACCATTTTAATTCAGCTAACACTGTTGAAAATAAATGCTCATAGGCACTAGTGTGAAAGCAAACTTTCTCCAAAACAGCAGTGTTGCACCCACAGTGACATCTTCCCTTTCACATGAACTAATTGTATTTGACTCCATCAATACTTTTAATCAATACTGCCAGGTTCTGCCTGCAGTTCAGTGCACCTCAGCTTCTGGTTTACAAACACAAAAAGCCTTAAGCAATCTCCTTGCTTTATTACTCTTGCATTGGTTTATGTTATTGCTTATTCTGTATATCTCCAAAGAGTGACTGCCATGCTTGAGCAATCTTGTTTTGGGCTTTGACAGTTTATGAAATATTATGCCAAAAACAGTGACCCGGAGACATTTGTGAGAGATTGAAAGACAGTAATGAAGCTGTTTATTCAACTGGCACCTCTAAACCATGACAGGTTGGCGGACTGTGATTGCCAGATGCCTTCTGTAAGCAGTGCCTGTAGGAGAATATCAAGTGCATACATATTCACCACACCCTAAATGTACATCCTGGCAGCTCCTCATTTCTACTGGCACACTAGTCTATGAATTATTCAGTTATATCTTCACTTTAGCTGTAAATAAGACACTTAAAAAGAACTTCTCAATAAATTACAGCATTGGTTATAAGTATTGGGTGCAGGCAGTTGGATGTAAGTAACCCTTTTGTGATTAAGCAGGATTTGCCCAAGTGGAAATAATCTGAACAAGTCCTACTACTACACAGAGGAGTTGTCTCTACACCAGCAAAATAATCCAGCTTCAATTCAGAGTATTCTGCCCTAAATTCACTGCATTAGCACCATGCCTACTGAGAAGATACATCTCTTAAATTTTACTAATAGCCACATATTCCCCCTGCCCAAATTCAAATAAACAACACATATATTTTTCTTAGCAGACATCAACACAGCTGCATCAACACTCATTACTGACACTCTGTTCTTTGGTCATTAGACCCATTTCCATTGAAGATTATTGTGACTAGAACAAGATAGGTACACAACTCAAGGTGCTGGGGGAAGGGGAGGTAAAGAAAAGGTGGAGAAGGAAGAGCAAAAAAGGGAGGAGAGGGGAGAATCTCTATATCCTTTCCTTGGCTCAAAAGAAAAAAAAAACCTTTACTCATTGCAAATAGAGAAGAAAACCAACTTCTTTTAGGATGCCATCCTTTGCCTCTGTGTTGTGCTTTCCCACTTTGTTTTATTTTCCACTGCCTTCCTGGCCTAATAGCTCCCTGGCAGACTATCACTGGTGTATTTGCTTGCTCTGAGGTTAGATTAAGCCACCCAGCCAGGTAATCAATGGTAAAGGGATAACCACTTGATCTCTCATGTAGACACCTCATTCTAACCTCAGGGAAAGCAACTTTATCAGCAGAGCTCTACTAAAGAGGTGTTTGTGTGGAAAGGCATTGGTGGCAGTCCTATGGAGAAAGAAACATTTGTTTTACTTTGTTTTGCAGTGGTGACAGTCCCAATCTACCCCCTCATTCCTGGGCTTGGCTAGGGAGTGAATGATGGCTCTAGAGCCCTTTATTATTAATAAAATAATAAATGGACTCAATTAAAGTTACACATAACAATATACTCCAGCAAATAACTCTGGACATTTTTAATGGCAATGCTTGCTAGCTACCAATCTGTTACCCACATGCAGTACCTCTATGATACCTGGATGCAGATGAACACATAATAATAAGATGTATTCTTTGAGAAACTCCATGGAAAGAAGTGAATGTTTAAACATTATATTAAAACTTAAATGAAGCACTTGTTGTTGTTGTTCATTCGTTCAGTCATCTCCGACTCTTCATGACCTCATGGACCAGCCCACGCAGAGCTCCCTGTCGGCCGTCACCACCCCCAGCTCCTTCAAGGTCAGTCCAGTCACTTCAAGGATGCCATCCATCCATCTTGCCCTTGGTCGGCCCCTCTTCCTTTTACCTTCCACTTTCCCCAGCATAATTGTCTTCTCTAGGCTTTGCTGTCTCCTCATGATGTGGCCAAAGTACTTCAACTTTGTCTCTAGTATCCTTCCCTCCAGTGAGCAGCCGGGCTTTATTTCCTGGAGGATGGACTGGTTGGATCTTCTCGCAGTCCAAGGCACTCTCAGAACTTTCCTCCAACACCACAGTTCAAAAGCATCTATCTTCCTTCGCTCAGCCTTCCCTAAGGTCCAGCTCTCACATCCGTAGGTTACTACAGGGAATACCATTGCTTTCTATGCGGATCTTTGTTGCCAGTGTGATGTCTCTACTCTTTACTATTTTATCGAGATTGGACATTGCTCTCCTCCCAAGAAGTAAGCGTCTTCTGATTTCCTGGCCACAGTCTGCATCTGCAGTAATCTTTGCACCTAGAAATACAAAGTCTGTCACGGCCTCCACATTTTCTCCCTCTATTTCCCAGTTGTCAATCATTCTTGTTGCCATAATCTTGGTTTTTTTATGTTTAGCTGCAGCCCAGCTTTTGCACTTTCTTCTTTCACCTTGATTAGAAGGCTCCTCAGCTCCTCCTCGCTTTCGGCCATCAGACTCTATTAAAATGGTTGTATGCTTTGTATTGCTACAGTGCTGGAATAGGGGTGAGTACATGTTTGTTTGGGGGCTTTTTTTTTTGACTGATGTAGACAATCCCAGAGTAAGACGCTTGTCTTTGGCAATAAATTCTGGAAGGAGAAGAATTTATTTATTTATTTATTTACTTCATTTGTATACCGCCATTCTCAGCCCTAAGGCGACTCATAGCGGTTTACAACAAGCAAAAACAAGGCGAACAATCAAGGCAAAAATTCAATGCGGCATCAACAAGGTACTTAAAAACAGTTAACACAGAAACAAATTAAACAATTTAACAGTAATAAACATTAAAGTGGCGTCTCATAACTAGAATCATGATCCAAACTCGTCTGTCGTAGTTCCATTCCTGAAGTCATTGCACTGCTTATTCAAATGCCTGTTCAAATAACCAGGTTTTCACTTTCCTCCGGAATACCATCAATGAGGGGGCCAATCTGATGTCCGTGGGAAGGGCGTTCCACAGCCGAGGGGCCACCACCGAGAAGGCCCTGTCTCTCGTCCCCGCCAGCCGTGCCTGTGTTGCAGGCGGGATCGAGAGCAGGGCCTCCCCGGAAGATCTCAAAGTCCTAGTGGGTTCGTAGGTGGAGATGCGATCAGATAGGTAACTTGGGCCAGAACCGTTTAGGGCTTTATAGGCCAAAGCCAGCACTTTGAATTGGCCAAAGCCAGCACTGAGAATGGCAAAGTCTCAGGCTCCTTCTGTTGAAACCTCCATCTTTTGGAGGACATAGCACATCCTGTCCTATATCTCCACTAGACTCTTCTATTCCCTTTGTGTGTGTGTGTGTGTGTGTGTGTGTGTGTTTGTGGTTTTTTTCCATTTTCAATTGTTGAACTGGCATTCCAGCCAGCTTCTGCAAATGAAATGAAGCAGGCTGCCATTTTTTCCTTTGCCTCAGACAATAAAATGTCTTGGATCTGTTGTTGTTGAAATGTAGTGATATTATTTTCTCAATGAGAAATGAACTCAAGAGATCTCGTGTTCAGAAAAAGTAATGCACAATATGTAAGCTCA